AGAGAAAATGTAAAATTTTTGTGATATATATCGTTGTCGGGATGATAAATGTCTTATATCGGGATATGAGATTTCGGTCTTATCGCATAACCCTAAGCACAGTTGGGTTTGCAATAGATCTACCATTTTAAGTCAACAACGAGCCATCCTAATGTTGGACTGGGTACCAGACAAACATATTTCAAGGCTATAATACTATCTTTTCAATCAATGTACACGAAGAGAGTCTTTTGAGATGTTGTTTCTATTAAAATTGGAATACCAAAAGTCTTTCCCAGCACCTCAAATACCTAATCCAGTTTACCTGTGATTTTTTTTTTTTTTTTCTTTCTTGTTTTGGTTTTGACCAGAGCTGTAGTTACTTTGTTAGCGCAAAGTTTTCTTTGAGTTCTCACTGTTTTCCTCCTGTCGTCCTCAAACGTATACCAGTGTCACAGCATTTATCAAAGGCATTTGAAGGAGCAATGTTTTGCCTACAGCCAAAAAGTGAGAAGCATGCGATTGACTTCTGTTCCAAATATACTTGTGTACCCCTATGTGCCATGCGCAGGTGTTGTGCTCATTGATTGGCTGAAAAGAGGGCAGTGTCTTTTCCCGCCCACCCTCTGTTTTTAGCTCAGCCGTTACACGCCACATCATGTGAACGCTTCGGCAGCTCTCTGCAGTTTGTCACTTTTTTTTTATCCCAGGAAAATGACGTTCGTTTTCCTCAGGCAGCTTATAAGGGCAAATTCTTCCATGCCTTACTACTTTTAACATTTTCCACTGATACCAGATGTACTTATTTCCTTTTTAGTTTCAGCCCTGTTTGTTTTGGCAACCGCATTTTGGTGTAATCGCACAGAATTGAAATACCTAGGTGACCAGGTCACCACAACCTAGAAAGGCAACTCAGAAGTGTCAAGGTCAGACAGAGGACTTTCTGACTAGCGGTGGTGGTACCCTAACCTGACATGGCAGATGGTTTATTACACAGATCCATCTGGAATATTGTCCTTGTAAAGTGTTTGGAAAAGCACTAGCACTCTCAAAAGCACTTGGCACATGATTAGATAAACCATCTGCTTATCACCATCAACTGCAAACTAACTTCAGCTGGTCGTATCAACAGACTAGGGGTGGGGGGTGGAGGGTCGTGCCAGAGATGAAGAGCTAAATGCATTCTGGGGAAATTTGAAACCCAAGTAAGGAGTCATTGAAGCTAGCTCTGCAGTTAAACAATTCCTAACATCTTCGCATGGAAAATGTGCACATTTTAATCACTCACAGGTTGCCACTTTCAAAATAAGAATAAAAATAAATACCTGACCTTCATTTAGCTGCAGATTTATTGAGTACTAGCTCCTTGTGCATACGTTTGGTCTAAACCGGCTTGTTTGGCTATAAACTC